TCCCCTGTCTCCATATGCATTGTTTGAATGAACTAAAAAGATAATGACTCAAATTAGTCACTTCAACTAAATAAAAAATACTTTATTATTTCCAAATGAATAATAAAAGGAATAATACTGTGAATAAAAGGAATAACGGGAAAAAAATATTAATGGTGTCGTAACTCATATTTTTTTTCTTTTTAGCAGGGTGTTGTAGGTGTTGATAGCTGTAGGCAGGACAGATCTTCTGTAGTGGTCTGTCTTGCACTGGATCTAGAGAAGCCTCTGGCTAAAAAACACTTTGCTGTTGTTTAAAAATCTTCTGAAGAGGATGCTCTCTTTTGTCAACAATCTTCTTCACTTAATGAGGAATTATTCTTTGTGAAATGATTTTCAGAGGTTCCAGAGACATTCCTAGAACAGAGCTGATCTTCTGTCAGATGAGCATACCCGGTCAGAACAGCACACCCATACTCAATACCCATTTATCCCTTTATTCTATTCCTTTAGTTTTGTACAAAAAATAAGCTTTAAAATACCTCAACGGGCGTGTATCCCTTTAGTCATGTACAAAAAAACTATTTATTTACTTACTTTTTGGTGTCTTTTGAAGCATATGGCGATCTCACCTTAATAATTTTTTTTTTGTACTAAGGGGAAACACGCCGGTTGAGGTAGTTTAAAGTCTATTTTTCAAATAAGACTAAAGGCATAAATGCAAATCTGATGTCTTGCACATTCGTATTGACTATAGGTATGCTGGTCTGACTGGGTATGCTCATCTGACAGAACACCAGCGTTCTTTAGCTTGTTGAGCTTTTTTAAGTCATTAGCTCTGATGCTGTTACCCCAGCAGATGATGGAGGAAGAGATCAGACTCTGCACAACAGACTTATAGACGATAAACAGCATTTTTCTGCAAATGCTGAAAGAACTAAGCTTCCTTATGAAGTACAAACTACTTTTTGATTTGATGACTGGATCAGATTTGAATCTATGTACGCTACATTGAAAGAATTTGTAAACAT